GTTCAAGGGATGCCCCTGCCTCAGTCTCCAAAGTGCAAGCACTACAGGTGCACACCACCACCACATCTGGTAAGAAGTAGTGTTTTTTTTGTTTTTTTTTTTTTTTTTAAAGAGAGAGTGAGAGAGGGAGAGAGCGAGCGAGAGAGAATTTTTTTAATATTTATTTTTTAGTTCTTGGCGGACACAACATCTTTGTTTGTATGTGGTGCTGAGGATCGAACCCGGGCCGCACACATGCCAGGCGAGCGCACTACCGCTTGAGCCACATCCCCAGCCCAGAAGTAGTGTTTTAATACCATTTTATTGACTGGGAACTGAGGTCTAGGAAAATAAAAGTTTCCCAGATAACACTGAAAAAGCCTCTGGGAGACATCTAATCTCTGGTCCCTGGTCCCCTGGGGGTCTGAACACTGCATCAAGCAACTCCAGGCTCTCTGTGACTGACTCTATGATTCTCTATTTTTTTCTTTCAAAATTGGAGATTCAACCCAGGAGTGCTGTACCACTGAGCTGCATCCCCAGTCTTTTTTACTTTTCATTTTGAGACAAAATTACTGAGGCTAGCCTTGAACTTGTGATCCTCCAGCCTCAAATCCCAACACTGGGATTATAGGTGTGCACCACCACGCCAGCTTTCTTTCTTTCTTCTCTTTCTTCCTTCCTTCCTTCTTTCTCTTTCTTTTCTTTCTTTCTTTCCCTTTCTTCCTTCCTTCTCTCTGTCTGTCTCTCCCTCTCTCTCTTTTCTTTCTTCTTTTTTTTTTTTTGCAGTGTTGGGGATTGAATCCAGGGCCTCATGCATGCTAGAGAATCAGTCTACCACTGAGCTATATAGACCCAGCCCTTTGAGATAGTCTAGAAGGCCTCCCTACATAAAACAAACATAGAACTTCTATCATTAGAATGCTCACAATATTCTGTTTTAAGAAATAAAACAACTGAATATGGTGGCACCCACCTATAATCCCCAGTTACTTGGGAGGCTGAGGCAAGAGGATGGCAAGTTCAAAGTCAGCCTCAGCAACTTAGTGGGACTGTGTCTCAAAATAAAAAATTAAGGGCTGGGGATATAGCTCAGTTGATAGAGTACTTGCCTCACATGCACAAGGCCCTGGGTTCAATCCCTGGTTCTGCAAAAAAAAAAAAAACAAAAAAAAAAAAACAAAGGAGAAAGAAAGAAAACAACAGACAACAAAGGCCACAACTTTTTCCCAAACAGCTAATTCTATTTCTCCCAATCAAAATCTACCACAGAACATAAGGAAAGGCAGGGCAGATCTTGTTCTAAGAGAACACTGTGCTTCTTTCTAATATGGTTTAGAAAATTCCACAGCAAGGGCCTGCTGTTACTTGTCCCATTCCCAGCTATATGGAGATGTAATGGAAGATATATAGCATGCCAAGGAACAAACACTGCTGATATCTTTTCAACACCAAAACAATTAGCAGACTTATTAAATAGGACCCTGACAACCTGCCCTCTTTTGTCAAGGTTATTTGTTTTGAGCAAGATGGTTTCCTTGATTAAAGCTACCAGTGGCTAATGCTAAATAATAAAATGTTCTAATTATCCACAAGAAATTATAATATCTAAAATTCCCGGCAAGAACTGGGAACTGCTTCCCAGACCATGTCAAAGATCAATTTCAGAGCAACTTCTGACCCCACTCTCTCATTGGCCTAGCTCTGTTGTTCCTGCAACCCAGTCAGTGAAAAGAAATCCAGTCTTCTAGTGGCAGAATGAAGGCAGGTGACTTGTAAGGGCATTCCAGTGCCCAACCATGCAAGTGTTCATCCCTGCTTTCTGGGATGGATTCTTGCAGCTGTGTCCTATCCACCAATTCATCCAGTTTGGGAACTACTTAAGGATAGATTTATAGCAAACCTGCTTATATTTGATAAGGAAGAATGGCACAGGGAGGGGAAGAAGAGTGGTGACTTGGTTATAATTTAGACAGGGGAAGTTATTAATTAAACAAGGATGAAAGAAAACTGGCAAAAAATTCATCAAGACAGTGGATTAGTAGATGGGTTGCCTACTGTCAGAAATTGAGGGGAAATAGACTGCTAATGCATGTGGAGTTTTTTGGAGGGTGATGAAAATGTTTTATAATTCATTGTGGTGATGGTTGCACAACCCTGTGAATATGCTAAAAAAAAAACTGTTCAAGTGTACATTTCAAATGGGTGAACTGCATGATATATTCAAAAAAAGAAAGAAAGGCTGGGGTTGTGGCTTAGTGGTAGAGCGCTTGCCTAGCATGTGTGAGGCCCTGGGTTCGATCCTTAGCACCACATAAAGATAAATAAATAAATAAAGGTATTGTGTCCATCTACAACTTAAAATTATTAAAAAAATAAAAAAGAAAAAGAGAGAGAAAGAGCTGGAGATATAGCTCAGTGGTAGAGTACTTGCCTAGCATGTTCTAGGCCCTAGATTCAATCCCCAGCACTGGGGGTAAAAAATGAAAAGAAAAGAAATCTGGCTAACTATTAGAAAACCACAATAAAACCATACTCAAAACAAAATATCAGGGCTGGGGATGTGGCTCAAGTGGTAGCGCGCTCGCCTGGCATGCGAGGCGATCCTCAGCATCACATACAAACAAAGATGTTGTGTCCACTGAAAACTAAAAAATAAATATTAAAATTCTCTGTCTCTCTCTCTCTCTCTTTCTCTCTGTCTCACTCTTTAAAAATAATATCAAAACCACAACTACATAATGAGAATAAGGAAATACCAGCATACCTGGCATGAACAAATGGCATATAATAACAAAAGTGTATGAGGTTTTTTTTCTTTGCTCCAAAGTAGAGTAATCTGAACCTGAAAATCAAATATTTAAGGCACTTATTGTAAATAATCTGCTTTACGTCTGGAAATACAAGTAGCTGCAGAATTTGTGATCAGAATGAGAGAAGGAGCAGTTCTGAACGAGAGAAGGAACAGTTCTGAGCCAGAGAAGGAACAGTTCTGAGCCAGAGAAGGCCATGTGGCAAAGTAAACAAGACATGAAGGACTGTCTGCTCCTTGAATCAGGCTTCCAGAACACTTTTGGGGAGTCTGACCCAATTGTGAGGTTCTTCAACATCCCATTCCATAAAAGAATGCCTCATGAGTCACTGAAAATATGCCAGGTAGCAGGGGAGTCTTTCTGAACTTCATGTCTGAAAGCCTTGTGGGGGGCAGAGTATTCCTGCTAAAGATTATGTGACATTTCAAGGATTTTGGTACAAATAACCTTTAAAAAAATAGTTTAATACTAATCCTGAAAGCTCCCCTCCTGATACACAAATCACCTTCAAGATTCTTTCCCTCCCCTCCAGTTCCTAAGAAGCTATAAAAATTAGTGACTATTGGGAACGATTACACAACTCTGTGAATTTATTAATTTAATTAAAACCCACCAAACTATATATTTTGTAAGAATGAAACTTGAGTTATATATTGATATTTTTAAAGTATTTTTCTTAACACTCAAGGCGAAACACGGAATTACCAGATAATACAGCAATTCTACTTTGAGGTATACACCCCAAAGAAATGAAAGCAGAAACTCAAAATACTCCTGTTTGTTGCAACATTATTCACCATAGCTAAAAGGGTGAAGTAACCTAAGTGTTCTTTAACACATTAATGAATAAACAAAAGGTAGTAAATCCACACAGATACTATTTGGTCTTAAAAAGGAATAAAATTCTGCCTGGCTCCAAGGCACAAGCTTGTAATCCCAGAGACTCAGGAGACTGAGGTGGGAAAATTGCAAGTTCAAAGCTAGCCTCAACAACTTAGCAAGGCCCTAAGCAACTTAGCAAGATCCTCTCTCAAAATGATAAATCAAAAGTGCTGGGGATGTTGCTCAGTGGTTGAGTGCCCCTAGGTTCAATTCCCCAGTACCATAAAAAAAAAAAAAGGGTAAAATGACGAAATTTATGTTATATACACTTTATCACAATAAAATTTTTTTAAAAAATTAGGGTCCTCACCTCTAAAAACACACACTTGATATTATGGGACCCCAGAATATGCCACCTCAAAATATATTTCTTTGACGTATTTTGAGACAATTTTTTTTAGAGAAATTACAGACAGAAATAGCTATGAAAATCTGTCCCTTTTAAAAGAAAATTCCTTCTCTCTACATTAGTAAAATAAGCAACAAATGCATAGGATTTTTTTTCCCCAGTTCCCCCCTTACTTGCCTAAAACTGACCTAAGTAAGATCTAGGAAGTATTACCCGAGAGATTTTATCTGCAGAATAAGACAACCTTTGCTCATCATATGTTCCTCAACTCAATCTTTCATAATTTGCTTCCACTTTTCCCCCAGAAGCCCCAAGTCCCTAGTCCTCTCTGGAACTCAGAGCAATAGATACATAAACTTCAAATATCCAGTCCTTTGAGACTTACACTGTGTGTGTGGCTCCAATGTCTGTGCATTTAATTGTTTGGTTTTTCTCCTGTTAATCTGTCTATTCTCAATTCATCATGGACTAAAATTACCATACCTTCAAGGAAAAAGATAAAATTTAAAACTCCCTTAAGTGAGGCAAACCATCCTTATGTATAAAAAAAATTAAATTTTCCTGCAATATCTGTTTCAGGGTAATAAGGCAACACACACACATACACACAAAAAGACTTCAGAAAATGAGTGTCCTTGCATTACAAATGTAAGGAAGTAAAAACATTTTAATTGCATTAACTGAATTTCAACTGATAAGACTTAATGCTTATACATTTAATTTGGTCATTTGGAAAAACAATTCAAATCACTGCAGCATGAATGAATACCTGTTTTTTTTTTTTTTTAATTTGTTAAGTATCCCACAACTGTCTGTGTTTACTGATAGACCTTGAACAATTTTTTTGTTTTTCTTTTCTTTTTTTAAATGTTTATTTTTTAATTATAGATGGACACAATAGCTTTATTTTATTTTATGTGGTGCTGAGGATTGAACCCAGTGCCTCACGCATGCCAGGCGAGTGCTCTGCCTCTGAGCCACAACCCCAGCCCCGATTTTTCTGTTTTTCTTTTGATTAGTACTAGGATGCAAAAGAAAACAATCCCTGTGCTTTCTGCCTTTGTGGCAGACCAAACTGAATTGGGGAATACATCTGTAGATTTTTTTTAAGTGTATTATTCAAAAAATCAACAATCAAGAAATGGGCTAAGGAGCTGAACAGACACTTTTCAGAAGAAGATATACAATCAATCAACAAATATATGAAAAAAATGTTCAACATCTCTAGCAATTAGTGAAATGCAAATCAAAATTACTCTTAAGATTTCATCTCACTCCAGTCAGAATGGCAGTTATCAAGAATACAAGCAACAACAAGTGTTGACGAGGTTGTGTGGGAAAAGGCCCACTCATACACTGCTGGTGGGACTGCAAATTAGTGCAGCCAATCTGGAAAGCAGTATGGAGATTCCTTGGAAAGTTTGGAATGGAACCACCATTTGACCCAGCTATCCCACTCCTTGGTCTACATCCAGAGGACTTAAAAACAGCCATATCAATGTTCTAGCAGCAAAATTCACAACAGCCGAACTGTGGAACCAACCCAGATGCCCTCCAATAGATGCATGGATAAAGAAACTGTGGTATATATACACAATGGAATATTACTCAGCAATAAAAGAGAATAAAATTATGGCATTTGCAGGTAAATGGATAGTTACAGAATATCACGCTAAGCAAAATAAGCCAATCCCAAAAAAGGCCCAATGTTTTCTCTGATAAGTGGATGCTAATCCATAATGGCGGGGAGCATGGAATGAGTGGAGGAATTTTGGATGGGGCAAAGGGGAGGGGACATGGGGATAGGAAAGGTGGTGGAATGAGATGGACATCATTACCCTAGGTATGATTGCACGAATGGTATAATCCTACTTTGGGTTAAACCACAGAAGTAAAAAATTTTGCTCCGTTTGTATACAATAAATTAAAGAGCATTCTACTGTCATGTATAACTGATTAGAACAAATAAACAAATTATTTTTTTAAAAAGTGTATCCTCCAAATGAAAGACAACCCCCTAAATTAGCACCGTCTCACAGCACTTTCTGTAGTGATGGAAATGTTCCGTATGTGCACTGTCCAATACTGTAGCCATTAGCAGTTGTCTGTTTAGTACTTGAAACATAGCTAGTGCAACCTTGAAACTGAACTGATAATGCTATTTAATGTTAATTAAATAGCCATACATGGAACTGGCTACCATATTGTCCAGCAGAGTCTAAACCCCTAAACTTAAAAACTTACAGCATGCCATACAACTCTCTGCTTGCCAAAAGCCATGTGCAGTTTCTACAGTTCCAGAAAATCAGATGGTTTTCTCTTTAAGCTATGAGCAAATGTGTGAGGTGAAGCATCCATACTTTGTGTTGTATAGGGGTAGGGGACAAAAAGTAAGTGTTCCTTTTTTTTTCTCTGTCTGTGAGAAAATGCTAACTGCACAAAATGGGAAGAGAAAGCTCACCTAAGACATGGAGAACTAGGACCTAAACTCCGACATAGGAAAATGAATACTATTAGCTATAGAGCCGCCTGAATAGGTCAGAACTATATACTTTAAGAATTTCAAAATATAAATTAAGCTCTCAGTAGGAGAGAAAGAAACACCATTCCTGGGAATAAACTGAAATGCATGGCTCAAAACATGGGTCTCCACTTATACATGCTGAGTCTGGCAGTACTGTCCTGCTAACCAGGGGGCACCCAAGTCTAAGTGGCTGTGCCTCCCAAAAAATCACCTGCTGTGGGGACTCATACATGTGCAGAACTTTGACTCTATTCTTCAAGCCAGAATGGACAGCTTGCTCATCTATGGCCTTATAGTCCATTTTAATATTTCTACTTATGACACATTTCAGTGCTTTATACTTAGTTTGAGGCAGCTATCTCTAGATTACCAGCTCCTTGGAAAGCAAAGACTGTAATAATTATATTTATAATGATGTAAACTTATGTTATAAAATATTTTATGCCCATTTATATCATCTGGAACCCTGTATTTGATAGAGATGATGAGCACATTTCCTACTTCACAGATCACTACCTACATAAAAGACATTGTGCTAAATACTTTCTACACATTACCTCACATAATTTGTGTGTTGACCTCACAAGAGTTTCAATTATTATCCCCATTTTGTAGGTAAAGAAACTGAGGTTAGCATATGCCAAGAAGCTAACCTGTAGCCCCAAAGCTAGTTAGTGGACAAAGCTAGTATTTGATCAGATCAAGGTATTAAGTCATAAACTCTTAACCAAGAAAGAGATGAAAGGGCTACATTACAGGCAATTTGTTCAAACAATTAAAGGAAAACACTATTATCACAGGAGTAAACATGAAATATAGTCATATCAGGGGGCTTTAAGGAACTAGGGGTGGTGAAGCCCAAAGAAGGGGTCTCACTATATTTATGAAGACTGGAAGGTTTTTCTAAAGGATGTCAAGTGGTTGTCCTATCTGTCTACAGAGGATTTAGCGATAGGAAATATTTTATTTTAATCAACAGAAAGAATTTCCTGACCCAAGAGGTAAAAGGGCACCTCCTGCTTCAGAAATATCCAGCAGAGATTCAATATCTGTTCTGAAAACAGAGAAGACCCAATGCTTAGAGGAGGCAGCTCATCTCACATTCTCTTTAAAGATCCCATCCACGATGGGGTTGTAGGTAAGTGGTAAAGCCCTTGCCTAGCACATGTGAGACACTGGGTTCGATCCTCGGCACCACATAAAAATAAATAAATAAAATAAAGGTATGTGTCCATCTATAACCAAAAATTTTTTTTAAAAAAAGATCCCCTCCTTGGGCTGGGGATGTGGCTCAAGCGGTAGCGCGCTCGCTTGGCATGCGTGCGGCCCGGGTTCGATTCTCAGCACCACATACAAACAAAGATGTTGTGTCCGCCGAAACCTAAAAAATAAAAATATTTTTTTAAAAAAGATTCCCCTCCATACCTGGAGTTCACAGAGGGGAACTCCAAAAGGGTAGTCCCTCAGCTTCACTGGTCCAAGATTACAGAGAACAAAGACAGAGCTGGTCTGAATCCTGGAGAGACAGTTCTCAGTAGGAATGCAGCCAGCTGATCTCTACAACTCAGATACAGCAGAGTGGAGTGGATGTCCAAGACGTCACCTGAACTCCATAAACACCTGGCCACATCCTTTGTGTTCAGTCTTGTAGTATGTGTTTTGGCCACACTATTCAAGGACCCTGTGTACCTCCATTCTGGTACAACTGGCTTATTTCAGATCAGTCTGTGAATCACACACATAATTATTCAAATCACTAAAGGTGTGACACTGTCAGTTTAAACAGAAGGCAATAAGCCCTGCACAAGTCTGTCACAGTAACTCCTACCCTGATATATTTTTTTCTCCAAAGATTAATTCCCTTTTGATCCAAACACCAACTAGCCAGGTTTGGGTAGAAAACAGAGGTTTTCCTGTGAGGGCTGAGGAAGTCCTCTGTCACTCTCTCTTAAGATTTTACACACATACCATACCCCAGAGGGTCAAAGTAATGCCAAGCCATAGGAACACTCCCTACATCAAGTACCCCCCGCCAAGAAAAAGTAAGACTAAGACCTTGAAACCTTACGGGTCTCATAAAACCAAGTATGTGCCCAGCAAAGTAGCCTTGAAAATCAAAAAGAACACAGCAAGTAGTTACTTGCATCAGGATATTCCTGAAGGAAGCCATGACCTGTCTGCCTTTTGTCTTTTATAATCCTACCTTCTGAGCTTCTCTCTAGTGCCAAGCATCTGCATCCACATCCCTGTGTCCAGGGGTTTCAAAATTCATTTCTACTCTGGCTTCACCTTCATCAAACTATTAGCCTCAAGTTTCCAAAGCAGATTTAAATCTACACACACAATACTCTCTGAGATCCAGAAAGTGCTACTTACCTTCAAGTCTTTTGTTCTGCAAGTGAGAAGCAGCTGTATGTTGCTACATGATCTAACTCCTGGGAAAAGGAAAACTTGTGTCCCCACAAAATGTTCAAGATCAGGAGTTGCCAGAACTGCATTTTCCTCTAATTTACATACACAGTGAAGTCATTTCCAACCAACGCCCTTAACAGTTGAGGCCCAAATCTCCTTTCAGGGCATTACTCACATATAGATTAACCACCTTGTGAAAGACAAGAAGTGTATAGAAGCTAGAAGCCAGGCTCTTTGCTTTGGTCCTGTTTTATTTGGGAGAAACTCTACCCACCTGATGTCCATGTGCTGAGGCAGACAGTTCCGTAAGCATCGGCTTTCATTTACATCTTCAGCTCTGCTTCCCTGCTATGCTGAAAACTCCCTTCAGTCAGCTCTTAGCATTCAAGGAGCATTTATTAATTCAGATACTATATGGTCTGCCTCATGATGCAATGTTCAGTTTGGCCAAGATAGAGGCAGGTAAACAAACACTCATGAAACAATGCTGGTAAGCTGCAATGAAGCTAACATTGGAGCAACAGAGGACATACTGTCTGAGGTGGTTGCCATGGCTATGCCCTTAAATCTCACACCATAATGACTAGAATGAAAAAGATTGATAATACCAACACTGACAAAGATGTGGAAGAATGAGAACTCCCATTGGAATACAAAAGGATATAGTCAACATAGATGTAAAAATTCTCAATAAAAATCTGGCAAATAGAATACAAAAACATATTAAAAAGATAGTGCACCATGATCAAGTGGGGTTCATCCCAGGGATGCAAGGTTGGTTCAACATACGGAAATCAATAAATGTAATTCATCACATCAATAAACTTGAAGATAAGAATCATATGATCATGTCAATAGATGCAGAAAAAGCATTCGACAAAATACAGCACCCCTTCATGTTCAAAACACTAGAAAAACTAGGGATGACAGGGACATATCTCAACACTGTAAAAGCTATCTATGCTAAGCCCCAGGCCAACATCATTCTAAATGGAGAAAAATTGAAAGCATTCCCTCTAAAAACTGGAACAAAACAGGGATGCCCTCTTTCACCACTTCTATTTAACATAGTTGTTGAAACTCTAGCTAGAGCAATTAGACGAAAGAAATTAAAGGGATATGAATAGGAAAAGAAGAACTCAAGTTATCATTATTCACC